TCCTCCTTCTTGCCTTTTTTGAAGACCCGAGTGATGTTGGCTTTCTTCCAGTCCTCCGGCACCTCCCCCATTCTCCAGGACCTTCCAAAGATGATGACGAGCGGCTTGGCTAGGACATCTGCCAGTTCCCGCAACACTCTGGGGTGCATGTCTTAATGTTAAGTTGCTTGTAAGCTTCTGAACAAAGAGGACACTTCAAGCCATAAGATCAAAGGAGGGTTAAAAAAAAGTCTGTCTCTCTAAATTACTTTTGTTACTCAGCCTTGCTGTCTCTGTTTTGTTCACACCCTGCCCCCCTCCGCCTATAATTTCATTTACCAGATTCAAGTATAATACTTGAAATATGATATACCATGCCATATTTAAAAATCTACCTATAGCCTTGGATTTTAAGCCTTTTAATCTGTATTTACTACTGTGAAAAAAGTAAAGTGAACAAACTGTTTCTCAGAGCCTATGAGGAACTGCCTAAGAATTTTGGATGTGTCAACAGACTTGATCTTGTTCTGATGCAAACAGATGTGAGTGTGAGACAGAATACTTGCTTAATACGCATGGATTTATTGAGCTGGCTAGGAAGAATTTCGGCCTATCTTTTACTTCCATTCAGGATCCATCAGGTCCACAAGTTCTCAGAACCACAACATGCTTTTCCCTAGCTTTTCAAAGGGAAAAATCTGTAATGTCCAAGAGAAGACACAGTGCTAGSCAGAGACAGGACACATGTTTTTCCTTGTCCTAGGCATGTTACTATCACCTTGCTCTTGACATGAGAACGAGAAAGAAGAGGAGAGAGAGAAGGAAGAATTTCCTCTCACCTCCTTCTTATTGACAATGTGTATTTCTCTGCATTTTATCAAAAGAACTTCTCTTGTGTTGCCCACCTCTGTTTCTCAGAAATACAAACACCAAATATCATAAGTATACYTACTTTATTTCGGAAGTATTAATGTAACACTGTAGGAATCTATGTATCTTAAAAGTTTCATACACTTATGTAGCACATCTAAAAGAAAATTGGCTGTGTTTTCATATTTTTCAACTTTCTGCACAGAAATGATTTCTATTCTCTGTCGTATTTTCATCTACAAATATCCTTTTTTTAATAATATACTTTGTTGTTAATATGAACACATTCCAATATGAACACATCCAATATGAACACATTCGTTAATGAATCTGAATCAAAACTGAGAAGCCAATATATTGGAAGGAACAGAGCAAATCACTCTAATGAGTTTTGTCTGTGACAAAGCATGCATCTTTTCAAGTTCTGAAAAGGAACAATGTTGCAAATCCTTGATTGGCCTCTTAAGTATCTATGTAGTAATCATTATGTATAAATATTTATGAAATCACATGCATTGTATTAAACCCTAAGGACGGGACATCAGTTCTGCCTGATTGCACAAATGCTTTATATTGTTCCTGACCAAAAAGACTTACTGTCAAATTTAGCAAGAAAAAGAATAGTCATCCAAGAAATATAAACTAACCCACCATTCTGCAAGGCACCTAACTGAATTTTTCTCTGACTAGCTTCAGAGAAATTTTGGAGAAAAAGRGGGAATTACTTTCACCTTGTGCTGTTGTGCCCCAGCAGCCATGCCATATATTCCCCAGACTCTTGTTTAGCCAGCTCATAATTAATCTTATATTAATTTTCTTTCCACATAATGATTGTTCTTTCTTCATATCTTGTATGTGCTCGGGAGCAGCAGTGAGTATTTGGTAGCTTCTCAGTTAACAATAACTTTTTGCCCCCAACAAACTTCAACTGTTAGCAAGTGTATGCACCTTGGGGATAGTGCCATATTCCCTTCCTTGGTGAAATGCTATGCATCTGCCACATATAGCAGCAAATATAGTGCCCAAGCAGGCAGCATTTCTCCGCTGGGCTGCACACATTGAGTACAGGCAGCTTGCTGATACTGCCTCAGCAATCAGCTTTTGTTTTCAGAGATGCCATATCAGGTAAACCTATCAAAATGTTCTGTGTGTCTGCTGATATGAACATATCTTAGGTGAAAGGAGCAGAGATCTTCATCAGACATAGGGATGATAGTACCTATTGGGATTTTCTTCTTAAAACGTGCACATGCTTAGCAAACTGTTGTGAGTATGTATATATCATAAGTAGGCATTGACACTGACTAAGACAAAATACTAGTTTTTGCAATAGGTGTGGGGGTTGAAAAAGTCTCCCATTTTATTTCTTTAGTGAACAGGTTTATCTATGGCCTGGGGAAGGGGATAAAATAGAAGGCCTACAAGGATAAATTTAGAAGACTGATGGTCTAGACTGGAATCCTGGATTCAGGTCTAGGTCTCATTAAAGGGTTTTTACGTACAAAACAAACAAAAAAAAACACATGCTCAGAACATGTCATATTGTCAGTTTAAATTTTGATTTTCATCAGAAGTTTGAGACGTTTACATTTGCATTAGTTTTCTGTTGATCCTTAAGTATAAATTCTGTCTAGCTTCAGAAGGTCTATGATGCAAATTTATAGCATAATTTAAACAATTCTTAGTTGCTGCAAAGATCTATGGTTTTGGGAGTGTGCATGTTTCTTCCCCGTCTCTTACCTCCCCTCCAAATAACTTTAAACAAGAGATAGATTTTCACTGTCGGGTTTTCATTTGGGCCCATATCAACATTCAGAGAAAGCTGCAGACTCAGAGACTTAACACTGACAGAAGGACAAGGATAGCAGATAGATGGAAGCATGTGCCGTGAGCCTCCTTCCCCAACATCACTGCAGTGTCTCCCAGTGGCTGATGTTCTTACAGTTGTGTGAGGAAGCGTCAAAGATCAAGGGAATAAGTAGATTCATTCCAGTGCTGTGAATGAAGAAGGAAGGCAACAAGGATGTCAGAGTCCCATGGCCACTCACTACAACTTTTAAGTATTTATCATGTTTTGAAGTTAAAATATCAAACATCAATATTTTTATCTATTTTATCAAATAGATTTAAAAAAAAAGAAAAAGCGCTCAATACAAGGCCCTGACTATATTTTGATGCAACTATACTAACAGTCAATAGTATCTCCTCTGATGAGTATAACCCATTTAGCATAAAGACTAAGAGATTCTCAACCTGAARCATTATTTTCACAGAATCTGTTGAGACATGCATTTTGTTTAAAATATTGATAAAAAGATCTTGTCAGGTAGAAGATCAACATGTGAGTAATTGATAATGAAAGCAGCTGGTGTCCTTTCTTGACTGAAAACTTATGGAGAAAAATATTAAAGGTAACTTTTTCAAGCATACTTAAGAAATTCTCTTTTCTAGTTGTGTGCTTATTAAAGCCCAAGTAAATAGCAGTGATGCCAATTATGTCAGTGAGAGTAGGATTGACCCTATATATAGTACAGAAAGAAAATAACTCAAACTACTTTATTCCCACAAATGGGAATCATTAATTTTACTAAATAAGCATTCCCTTACATTCAATTGTATAAAATTAGTAAAAATACTGAGAAGTTAACAAATTTTAGAATCYCATTTATAATTCTTGTTGGTGCTAGTAAAAGAGCCAAAATGCATAGAATTTGATTAATTTAAATATTTCACTTTAAATATCTGTGATATTGTAATGTACAGAACATGCTACAGATTAATAGCTATGTTCAAAAACCCAGGATTTTGAAAGCATTTTTTTTTAATTAAGTTTGTCTTGTTTTCCCATAAGACTTTTTTTCCCAGAGATGAATATATCTGGCTCTCATTCTGGTGTCTTATTCTTTTTTTAGCTTCCTGAAATGACTCATGTTCAGACACGGCGACCCTGGTTGATGTTTCTCCTACAGAACGTTGGATTACTATTAGGTTGGCTTTGCCTCTTCCTTCTGGCTGTCTATGAACAGAAAATTAAAATATAAGTTTTCTGTTGGAAATTTTGAAGTACCACTTATGACAGTGGATAGCATTATTCACAATTTTTGTCATGTCTGCAATAGTGAAATATAAATTAAGCTGTTTGGATTTTTATATCTGAAACACAGTAGGTAACTATTTCACTTTATTAACTTATTGTTGAGATTTTGTAATTTTTTTTAAACACAAATATTTAGAATTATGGTTTGTTACTGAGTTTACCGAATCCCATGCTCACACTCACAGGAGCTTTTGATTAGTTTTTACTGAGACTGTTCTATCTGGACGCTCTAAGTGATCGCTGCCGTCTGATTGAAGAAAAGAATAAAACACTTTTATATGCAATAATTAAACTGGACTGACCATAGTTGAATAATTTGAAGCAGAAAAGTTTGTTGCTTTATCATACAAAGAATAAATGTAAATGTAAATAAATATAAACTAAAAAATACAGTAAATGTTAAATTMCATACTGTAAATTGAATTATGATATAATTTACATGATATACTTTGCCAAGATATTGGTATTAATGTCATACCGGTCCACTGTAGAAGGGAAAAAATAGTGAGTATAGATTCTAAAGCTGGGATGGTTTAGACAACTGATAGTTTAGAAATATCAAAATGTCATTTCTGCCTATAACATTTTTTGTTTATATGTTTTGGAATCTATGCCAGTCCAGCATTGTACCATGGTAACTGCCATACTTAATGATCCAAAAGTTTTCATTGTGCATTAGCCTACCTCTGACAACTGCTCATAGTAAATGCTTATGACAGACTATAAGAAATACAATTAAGATATTTTCTCCTGAAGACTCCTTCCAGCTTCCTCACGTCAAGGCATTYCTTGAGCCAATGCAGCTTTTGAACCATCAAGTCCAATAAACACCAGTAAGTGCTTACAAATGCCTTCCAGTCAGCAGTTAGCTAATTCACACAAATACCATGGACATCAAGGGAAGAAATGTTTTCCAATTGTCCAAAATGCACATAGCTGTGCTCCTTTACAGCCTCTCTCACTCTAATTCCTTTTAATTTGAGTGATTTCTGTATAATTAGTCTTCCTGATTTTAGGAGAATTCTACTTAAGCTAAAGATGACTCATTTAATTTAATATTGCACAGTCAAGCCTGAAACAAATATACCAGTTCTGCCCTGGCTCTGAGGTGCTAAGCAACTCCCAGCTGTGCATTTTCTATTACTTAGATGCTACAATTTTGGGCATAAGAAATCCTTCCCTATCCAATTTATTTTATAGGTATTTCCATTCTCTGATGAGCTGTTGAAACAGGGAAAGCAAATTACAGAAGAAACATGTATTCTTTATGCTCAGAACGATATACTTTTCTTCCTTACCTAAASCAAGCCTGAAATAAGGCTACATTACCATACTATGACTGTCTCACAGCATTTCATATATTTATATTTATTTTAACAGCTACTATTGAAGGTTAAATGCCTCTTACATTACAGAAAAGAACAGAAATTACTAGAGTTCTCAAAGATTTTGCTGGCATTGTACTATCATACAGTCACAATTAAAATAAGAGGAATTATGAATTTTATTCATTTAGATTCATGCACATTTAGATCCCTGATCATCCACAAATCATCCTTGGGGGGAAAAGAAAAAGAAAAAAAAAAAAGAAAAAACATTAAAGAAAGCTATATACACACATTTTCAATGACTATGAGAATCTTTACCAAATATCCCAATATGCATCTAAATGTATGTCTAGGCATTTACATACCTTCCAAAACCTTGTCCCCCAAAATTTATCCAAAGTCATGCAGAAGGTCTTTGTCTGACTAGAGAAATTAACTGAGTTGCTTCTAGTCCCCAAGTACAATCCTAGCCTGTTTTATTTAGGTTTACAAATATTATGACTGATTTTTTTCTCCTGGTTTAACTTTGAAATACGCCTGATTAGTTGAAAAGTTATGGCTGACACTCCACTATTCTGAGCTTATATTTTTCAGGAGTTAGTTAGTTCTTTTAGTAAGATAAGATTTTTAAAATGTGGCTTTTCCATATTTCATCTGTTTGTATTGGCACTGAGTCACTTCATGACCTTCAGCTGTGACAGTCAATTCTAGCTATAGCAGGACACCACTGGACGTAAGCAAAATCTATTTTTGTATCAGAGGGTGCAAATGAATATTGGAAACATTTGTTATTTCAAAGAGCAGAGCTACTAAAGAGTAGTGCTACTAACTACTAATGTTCACTACCAGAGAAAATAAGGTTACCAGTATGATCACACTTGGCAATATTATTGTATTTTGAAATATTTTTCTACAGTTGTCAAGGTTTCTGATACAGAGTAAGTGTATTTCTGAATGTGTCTTGTTTAATGTTGTACAAGAGCATATCCTGGTGTGATTTGTGAGCATGTTGTGCCTGCATCTGTTCAGAAATATCATCTTTTGGCTATATATTTATGTCAGGTTTCCTATAGCTAGGTACATTCGCCCAGCTTATACCATATGCACAAATCAAAATGCCCGTTAGTCCTGATTTCTGTCAAAATACAGATTGTATGGTTTTGTTATATCTGTCAGCAAGCGAGCAATTTGGTCACCTTTCTGAATCGCTGTCAGGTCTGAATACCTGAAGTCTCATAAGCAACCGGAAGTTTGAATTCTTATGTGAAGAACTTATCTTACTACTCAAAGTTTGCGTCTCTCCTCTAATGTTCTTGCCACTGGTATCTTTAAAAAGATACTGAAGATGGAGCTCTACCAAGACACAAAATTGTAGGACTAAGCTATATTTCAGGATCAATGTCTGATGCCGAGAGCTGGAAACTATTCCTGTAGGTGACTGAAATAGGAAACCAAATTGCTTTAAACCTGAAGATACCCATCTGTTACCCACCACTAGAGAGGCTTTTGGGTGTTTTCAGATTTGAGGTTAGCTGCACTGTACTAGAGAGAGAATCAGTAGTCACATGTGAGAATTTATTAGGGATAGGAGGTTATAACAAAGTGAAGGGTATAGCTTATAGAAAGAGAACTGAAAATATATCTGTGTGTCAGAGCACTACAGTTCAGCCACAGATGTGCAGTATGATGACTGTCTTCCCCCTCATGGGCCATCCTCTCAGTAGAGTTTTCCTTGTTTTCTCCTCATCATGCTGTTGACATCACCTGATCCAGATGATGAGGATGGGTGCTCTGGTCCTTGGCCAGTTGATGGTGGGTGCGGGTCCACACCAAGGTATGTATGTGGTTGCTCCCTGGTACAGCCAGCCAGAGCAAAGCCAGGCCACAGTTACACAGAAGCTGCAGGCTCTAATCAGTGGCTGGGCACATGTCCACAGGTGAGCTAGTGCTCAGCCCACCCTATTATCCTGCTACCCACTAACCCAATAGCCCTCTTGTTCTGCAGGGCAGGTCTCCACAGCTGAGAGGTGTCCATGGGCTGTGGTGTCTCCTCTCCTTTGCTGTCATGGGGTCATGGTCTGGCCACAGTGCACCCAGGGTTTGTTAGCTCTTGGGGAGCCCTAACCCTAGTGACCGCTGTGACACTGACGTCCAGCCAAAAGCACCAAAGAGAAATGAAAGAGGAACATTGTTCAAGCAAACCTGGTGCAGCCCTGCCTGGGGATGGCCCCCGCTTTGGGATGACTTTTGCAGCCTCGCTCCTCATGGGGCTCTACGCCTTATCACTCGCCGAACTGTAACCCCAACCCTAAACCTAGTGATGGCYGTGACATTCACCACTACCCAACAGACCCACTGAGGAGTGAAATAGAGATCTTGTCATCTGAGCAGACTTTATGCAGCACCAGAGCAAGCCCCTCTTCTAGGGGCTGCACTGTCCAGAGTCCCATTCTCACCTGTGCGGTACTGTCAAACACTCATCTTTATTTCGTGATCTCTGAAACTCCTGAGCATGGTTTTACGTCCTTAAAAGAGAGGTGGGAAAAAAAAAAAATGATGCAAAGGCGTTCTTATGATGCACTCACATTTTGTTTGTTTCAAATTCTGTAGAGTTTATTCACACAGATTTCAAACGAGACTTTATTTAGAGTCAGACAGTTCTTTCTGTTCCTCTAAACCTAGCAGACAGAGAACAGAATATGCCAACATTTTCATTGAGTCAAATCCTGAGTAAGGGCTGCAGAACTTCATCACTTACAGCCCTTAAATCATGACTGGATATCTTTCTAAGAGGTATGCGACTGCTCAAACAGATGTTATGTGCTTGATGGAGAGATTACTTGGTGGGGTTTTACAGCCTGCCAGGCTGTTCTGACTAGATAATCATAATGTTCCTTTGAAACTCTAAAATATATGAATCTATAGACACATTAATTTTACTGATATAAGAGAGTTAATATTTCTGCCTTTCATCTATTCTCAGTTTTCAGGAGCTCTTAAGAGGAAAAACAGAAAACATCTTGCTTTCATACATGCACAGATAAATGAAAGAAAGTGAAAGAGAGAAAGAATTAGTTTATTACAATACTTTTTTTCCTTAAAGTTAAATGGCAAAGGGCCTCATAAAAAAAAAAAAATCCTTCCATTTCCAAATGAGAACAGCTCCTAGGCATAAGAGGGCTGACCTTGTACCTCTCTTCTCTTTTTGTATATGTTACACATTACCCAGTGACTCCTAAAATAAATATTACCTTCTTTTCAGCCAGCTATTCTAATGCCCTTAGAAAGTTTCTGGAGCTCATCTACGTGTTTTGAATTCTGCCATCTATTCCAACCCTGTATTTTATGCTTTAAACACGAATGTGGCATTTCTCCAGTGATAAAAAGGACATTTTTAATGTAAGAAAATGTGGTTAATTTTGATATTGCAACCTGTCCTTAATAGATGTATTTGTGTTTGTTTTCTTTCTCCTTGAAAGTGCATTTAAGAAAGCACGCTGTCAGTGTAACAATTTTCAGTCTGTGTCTAAAAACCAACAACAGGTTTATATCAAACTGAGGATTAAGGATGAGAATTTTATAAGGGTAGAATGTACTTTACCAATATTGTTAGTTTTCCTTGCTTTTCTGTAACCTTTCATCAAGTCTTCCTCTCATCTTAAAAATAACCTGCCTTCTATTCTATGTAGCATTAGGAATGTGACTGTAGAAAATACCAGTAGYTGCACAACGGCTTTAATCAAAACAAAAAGTCCTGTAATTTTGCCGGAGCCACCTTTATTCCCTTCTCCCCAAAAGAACAAAAAATCCACATGCAGAGCTTTTGTGCTGGGGCATGTAGGAAAATGTAAGAAGCGCCTTCTTCCTTTTTTGTCTCTGATAACAGGGCCAAGAGCAATGGGAGACGCTGCAAAGCAATCTGGTTGCATTGAAGTCAGTGCCAAGCTCGCATCAACAGCAGTTCAGAGCAACATCCTGGTGGATGGGGGTGTAGGAATCCCAGAGCGCTGATACTGCCTCCTTTTGCAGCGATG